ATCTTCCAATGGATACGATCGCACGTTTTTCTTTAATTGGTGAATGTACACTACGCTCCAATCATAGACAAATATCAACGTTGGTAGTTTCAGTTGCATTCGGTCTCAAGCCAATTAAAGTAGTAAATTACAGACGCAGACGAGATGTCGTTTCTTTTGGTAGAGGAATTAATCAACCTACAAACACACTTCAGTTCAGTTGTGTTCATAATACATTGAAATGTTATCACGGTTTGACGATATCCTTTTGGTTAGCAGTTACAAACAATACTAATATCACTATTCTGGATACCACATTAAATGGTAGAAATGGTATTACTATTACTTACAATCAACGGTAAGCAATTTTTAAAAGTAAACATGGTCGTAAATGAGGAATTTGGGACCACCTTGGGTGAACACACACTAGTTCTGGCCTAAATAATACAATATGATGTCGGAATCCATATACTAAACATCAAAATTTTGAACAATTCCTTTTTATTATTTTTTTCATTTCTTTTGTCGAATTCGGCATGAGCCCCATTCGCCTGTACGTAGAAATAGAATTAAATCATTAAACACTTCACTACCCATGAATCAGTGTTTTGAAACAACAATCCTATGTCTTAGTTGCCAACTGAATGCATAACGTAATGATCATGGTTAGTATGATCCTTTCAATTATTTCACGTTCGAAGCATATTTTTGCAGAAAAATAATGGTAGAGGTGTATGAACCTAACCATGTTTGGAGAACATGGTACTGGTATAGCTTAGTTGATTGGAGCTATGTTACTATGACATGGTATGAACCAGTAGGATTAAAGCTTTACATCAATACTAAACTGGTAGCATCATCAGAGTATCACGAACCAATCTTACCTTATCTCCACTATGTTCCAACATCTGAGAGATTCGTCCTCTTGTATTCAGAAGCAGATTCCGTTAGCTATATGACCGATTTATATGTAGATGAAGCTGTGTGGCCTGAAACCAAAATACGAAAACACTTTGGTGAGTGCAATCTAGGGGGGCAATTTAGCAAAGCACCTTGACAGACGATTAAACGTCGAGAACGGACTTTCATGGAGTATTTTAGATTCGAGATTATTTTTGTTAAAACACATGTTACATTTTTATTGCCGTTTTAGTTTAAACGTAGTCGGGTATGTTTTATGGCAAAACGTTGAACAAATACGTCCAAGTTAATTTTCTGGTTACGCTTCCTGTGGAAGGCAAGAAGAACAAGATTGCGCTGGCGAAGCTGAGTCATAGATCGTCGTTGTGGTGAGTCAACGCGAGTAAGAGTTGAAAAGCTGCTTGCACACACAGCGGTACTAGAACTGAATGTGGCAACGCTTGCAGCCAGTGCATATTATTTAAGGAAATCCAATTTCTGCTCGTATAGACTTTGAAGAACAAAATTGGAGTCCTGCTTTTCTGTATCACCTACAGCATGCTTCCAATCTGTGTAGCCTTCAGTGATGAATTTTTATGCACCCGCAGATGTATTGTGAAACACTTGACATGGAAATCAAAAAGGGGCGTCGCTTGACACTGAATACTCCAGCCATGAAATCGATCATACCAGCTGTTACTAAAATGGCGACCAGACTTCGCTGGAAATTTTATTCTCGGTTGCTTTGGACGTCTTCTTTTCCAATGTCACCTGGTACTCCTGTCGTTTCAGAGCATCTTGGTACTGCATCCGTTGTGTTTCCCGCTGTGGTTTTGATACCATTGTCAGTCGTAGTAGTGTCGGAACCATCAAGCAATTTGTCTTTTTTGATCAAATATGTATCCATTTTTCCTACGCTTGGTTGTTTGATTCATATGAATACAATTTAGGATAATATATGTCTATTAGTTAGTATTTATAATCAACCAATCAAATCTTTTGAATTTTGAGACGGGACAGATTACAATCCAGTATCAGACCAATAATTTTGTTACCAATGACGCTTTACTGCATACTTTTTATGATTTTGAACGAACTCAATTGTATCAAATTATCTATTCTTATGTAATTAAATTTAAAAAGCTATGATGTCTGGTTTCATCCTCAGCTAAGTATAAACATAAAGATATTTAAAAACAGTTCTTAAGTAGGTCTACAGATAGGAATACTTAGTATTTTGTTGGACCATTTCGCATAACGCAGCCCTGAAAGCCATAACCTTATTTTTCGTTACGTATAATCAAAATATAGCAGCTGACTGGTGCACTTACTCCACCATAAAATGCCTTACCAGAATGACCACTGTTTGCTATTCACTCAGACCCAGTTACCTCCCGCTCCTATTGACTCAGGAAAGAGAAAGGTTGTATTTTAAAAAAGTGACCGGTACATTTTTCTAGGGGGGGCAAGATTTGATTTAGGGGGGGCAAAGCCCCCCCCCCCCCCCCCCCCCCCCCCTTGGCTACGGGCCCGAGCTTAAGCCTGTAGGATCGCGATGATGGAAACTGAAACTGTGCCAACTAAAAATTAACAGCTACATAATTAGTATTGTAAAAAGGGAAAATACGCTCTGCTTAGGATTAAAACGATGCCACTCTTTGTTTTGTAGTTTCGTCCAAAGATGATGCACCTGTCCACATGATAACATTTGATGGTGAATGGAGTGAAGGAGATGTTGACATAAATGAACCTTTGCCAGATGCCTCAACAATACAGTGGCACAATCCTTTCTTTAAAAACGTATTGTATGTAAATAACACTAACTCATCACCAGTCTCTACGCAAAAACTTCTCCTGAGTGATTTTACACAATCAGGTAAATCATACTCCGTCACAATTGTTTTTTTTCTTTTACACAGGTACAGGTACATTTTGAGATTGGAGAACGGATTTTTATGACAAGATCACAATCAAATCCATGATCAAAAATCGAGATACTGTGGATACTTGGTTTTGTGGATGCTTCATGATTTAGTAGACCGTAAAACTCCATTCATTTCATTTCATTTCCTATGGTTTCAGATTTATGCAAAGAAGACTATACCTTGTCGTTGTGGATCAAATCAATGAATTTTGAAATTGACCAGATTATTGTCGAGTCGTGGACGAGCGGACCGGATGATATAAAATTTCTGTCATGGGGATTATATTCAAATCATGATGACTTTTCATTTGAGACTTTTATAAAGAAAGTGAAAATTGTGGTGAAGTTTAATTTAAACTATAAACAATGGTCTCATATAGTGGTTCATGTAAAACCAATACAGAACGACGTTTCACTACATGTTGATGGGCAAGAGGTACAAGGCAGCATTCAAAAGAACTATGTGTCATCTCATGTCTTAAAGAAGGTTCCGTATTCCTATCTGGAGATCGGGCGAAAGGGCGAATTCTATATAGATGATATTCAGTTTAGATATGGTATTAAAAATCCAAATGAAATGTATGGTAAGTCTTGTCTGCTTGGGTGTTAGGTTGAAAGTCTTGTACATTATATTCATTTTCAGTTAAATTCTTTATAATTCGCCATTGCGATCATGAATAATTAGTCGATTTTGTTGAAGTGTATTTATTTACATTAAATTCATATTTGATTTAGATTTATAATGGATTAGTATCTTCATGAGTTAGGGATACTTTCATGATTGGATTTTTGTTTGCAGATTTAAGATCTTGTAAAGATTACTTACAAATTCACAGAGGTTATTATGGAGTTCAGAATAAACTGATAAATGATGGAGCTGGAAATTTTAAAACATATACCTGTAACTTTGATACCTTGAAACCAGGTAATTGCTGTTTAGATAGAAAGATTTACCAAAACTAGTAGACTAGTACATATATTCAAGGCCCAAATGAAAATGGTGAACTGTGACCTTTAAAATTCTATTTAGCTTTGTGAACTTTTGAATCATATGCAATACATGCCGAGATATCTTATTTTCTTGATTGATTTCAGGATTAGATGGAATAGAATTTGACATGGAACCAGATATGTTTCCTAAACTCAATGGAATTGTCCTACAATCGACGTTACAGGTAACTTATGTTGATAGTATGGACGGTAGAGCTGTAAAATTACCGCATACAGGAATCACACTGCAGCAGCTGCCCACTGGATGTTTATCTGATTTCAAGAAGTGTAGATATGGATATTCAGTAGCCATGTGGCTATACCTGACCCAACCTTCTGCCAACCCACTTACACTGCATCAAATAACTAATGGACAATCTAAGTCAATTCAGGTGACGTGTAACTTTGATTTATCATGTGAAGCAATTGTAAGATATGGATATATCAAATGGGTTACCTCATTTAGTCTACCTGTCAAGAGATGGACGCATTTGTCTGTGACATGGAATAGGTATCAAGGAATCAAGCTATATGTTAATGCCGTTAATGTTGAGAAGTTTGGTATCACCAGCGTTAAAACTGTTGAGGACACTGAAGTTGTGGGAACCTCGACTGTGGTAGAGTTTGGAACAAGTGACATAGCAGCTAATGATTGGTGGATGGATGATATGGTACTAGTTGATCATGATTTATCAGAGGATAAAGTAAAGATGGTTTTTGGTAAGTACCGATATGATGTTTCCAAAATGCGATCCCACATATTACCATTTCTACCTATATGTGTAAAAAAAGGAATGCTTGGCAGCTATGTCCAGAATCTGAAAATTAAATGCAATTATTATTGTGTATAAACGACGTATGCCCGGCTGATAAAATTGTCTGTGAAATGTATCTTATAAATAGTTGATATATTTTTAGGTCAGTCCTCTGTATGCAAGGATGATTGGAAGTACAGTGATGAAAGTGGTCTCTGTTATAAAAGCTTCCCTCAGTTAGTACAATTTGGTGATGCAAAAGAAGTCTGTTCTGCTGAAGGTGCCTCTCTGCTTACTGAGGCAAGTCAAAAACTTCATGATTGGATTCAAGACAATATCACAAGAGCGGGTAAGTAGACTGAAATTGAAAAGGAAAGGCATAGCAATGTATCATTTATATACGCTGTATCATAATATCGAAACTCCTCTTGCGTTGCAGATAAAATCAACAGTAAGATATGGATAGGTGTGAAACAGTTTCAGTCCGATGGAAGGTACTACTGGTTGGATGGTACATTGGAGAACTATACCAGTATTGTAACATTACCGTCTAGTGGATTACCACATTGTGGTAGTTTTATTCCACCTAACTCGATTTTGACGGCTTCTCCATGTTCGGATCTAGCATCAGTGATTTGTCAATTAAAACCGTTCAGTAAGTTTTGTTGAGTAGTTTTACGCCACATATACTCCAAAATAGTGATCTGTAATCAAATTAAGTAAGCCATCCAAGTTTGATTTTGTATGCAATAACAAACAATCGTAAGCGTAACAAAGACAAAAATCATTTTAAAATGGTTCTTTCTATTACTGGTTACTCTACTATTTTCATTCAATTAATAATGATTCAAATTGTGCATCGTGTAAATTAATGAAATGAAATAACAGTTTAATTATGAATTTGAAATGATTTCATGTAAGATTTGATAAGTTATTTCAATTCACAAATATTTAGGTAGTTGATGGTTTGATCTATTTCAGATACACCATTGAAAGAGTTGTCAGCTGTAGCTAGTACACAATACCATAATTACACTACGATACAATCAACGATAGTATCTCCAGTGCCTGGCCTTATTGAAAAAGCTCTAAAATTTCCTAACAATCTAACTAACTACTTCATAGCTTATGAATGTTTCAATGATTTAGAACTATGTCATAACGGGTTTTCATTTATGGCCTGGTTGAGTCTCAAACCGGAAGGGTCTGCTGAAGAGACGATCATTTCGACTCAGGTGAACGACAGCGCACCAGGATTTACCTTAAGTGGTAGTACGGTTGATGGTGAATATGTGCTTCGTCTAACTGTCAAATTGTGTAATCGAGGGCATAATATAGACTTCTTTATCACAACTTTTGAATGGACGCATCTATATGTATCAATATATAAAGAAGAATTTAAGATATATCTCAATGGGCGTTTTTACCGTCATTCCAATATAACTATAACCAACCCCAGTGATTACTGTTTGGGTTTTGGAGAAGTAGCACCGATATCTCTGGGTAAAAGACCCGATGGTTCAAATCCAATGAATGGGATGATTGATGAAATCCACCTGTTTGAGCATAAGATGTTGAAGGAAGATATACTTTTAACTACAGGTCAGATACAAGATTTTTTAATTGACATTATGTACTAGTCGTACAGTTCCTTCCCTATATTTCACAATTACTTACGAAAACTATTATGGTTTAAACATATTATGTTCTTGGTTTTAAAATGGTAACAGTTATTTTTTTTATATTTTTCAGTAAACACTAATCTTCCCGTACGATTTGATCAGCGTTTTGAGAATCTTCAGTCATTCAGTCAAGCTGTTGATGCTGTAATAACTAAGGGTCATTTTGGCCATGCTGTGTACTTCAGTGGCTCTGCTGTATCTCATGTGGAACAAGAGGGGCAATTGGTTCTAGATTGTTTAGGATCGTTAGAGGTTTGCAGTAATGGTTTCACTACTGCTCTGTGGATTAAACTCGATGCAGACAAATCTGGCATAACCTTCGATGTGATGTCTATTATTAATGAGGAACAGGGTATCAGAATCTATCATGAAGCCGGACAAGGCTATAAAGTTGATATAAGAAATACAACTTTTGAATATCTGTTACCGTTTGACCTAGTACCACACATGTGGTCTTATGTTTTAGTAACGTGGCGAGACAATCATCCATATCTGTATGTAAATGGAATGTCGAAAGACACCATGACTATACAGCAACTTTCAAGTATAGACCATTCTACTATTGTCATTAGATTTGGACATAAACATGGTGGACTGCCCGGTGAAGAAGGATTTAAAGGTGCAGTTGATGATTTTACTTTCATGAGGTACTCTGTGACAGATGAAAGAGCATGGGACATGTACTGTAAGTATTACTATGCTACAACTCTTGAAGTACTTACACTGTATTGTTGATTTTTATACGCCCACGAGAAATGGGGGGGCGGGGGGGGGGGGGGGTATATTACCGTCACCCTTGTTCGCCCGTCCGTCCGTCCACAATTGCTCGTAAACACTCTAGAAGGCACAATTCTTGATGGATTTTGACAAAACTTGGCATGAGTGTTGTTATCACCCAAGGATAAACCCAATTGAAAATCAGACAAATCGGAAAATATTTAGTATGAGTTATGGCCCCTGTTCTTGAAAATGCGTTCAATTTTTATCTTGTTAACACTCTAGAAGGCACAATTCTTGGCAGATTTTGACGCAATTTAGTGTTTGTGTTAACACCAAGGATGAATCCTATCAAAAATAAAATAAATCGAAAAATGTTTCAGAGGAGTTATTGACCTCGTTCTTGAAAACACTTTCAAATTTTAGCCCTTAAACACTTAAAAGTCATGATGATTTTGACAAAACCTGGTTTTATTATTCAGTACTGTTCTGAAGGTTGAATATTTGCTATCTTGAGTTTTCATGAGCTAAAAAAATGAACACGTTTTTAAGAACAAGGGCAATAACTCATACTCAATATTATTCAGTATCGCCCCGAAGCGGTAAAAAGAAGTGTATTACTGAAGATTGAATATTTCATACTAGTAATTGTTACTGTACTGCCAATGTTTTTTTTTATTCAAAGTAAAAGCTGTCAGTGGGCGTATATAACCTTGCCTCGCAAGCTATCTTTAATTTTAATAGGAGATTGATAAGTATTCTGATGATATATCTCATAAGATACTACAAAATATTCCTTTTGTCTTTTAGGGAAGGTGCTGTTTGTAGAAAATCCTATCAAATGGGATTTTGAAACTGTGAATCCTGTGTACCTAGGAACACCCGGAATTGATGTTACCTGTACTGGTTTGTTTGGTAGTTGTATTCGAATAGATCATGGAAATAAATGGTTGAATCTTTCATCTGACTTCAGTGATAATTTCTGTTATCTGAGTGCCGATTCTTGTGTTCACGGCTTTACTATTAGTTTTATGTTTAAATTTGAAGAAGAGCGTGATTCGGATCAGACAATCTTTACCACAGGAGGAGATAATCCAGAAGGTCTTGGAGTGTATCTCAAGTTCGCTCCAAAGAATGAAAGTCTAGGATTCCGGAGATATTTTAACGCTGGGTTAAGAATGAGGAATGTTGAATATTCAGGATGGTTTAACATGGAATATAATGTCTGGGAGTCTATAGTGCTTACCTGGTATCCTAAATTCGGGTTCCGAGTATTTATTGGTGGTCTGTTGGTAGTAGAAGATAAAAATGGCACCGACAGAACCGCACCTTTAACAACATTAAAACAAGACTTGCTGATAGGAAAGCCTTCTGGTGGAGTAAATGACCAAGAAGGTGTATTTGAATTAGATGAGTTCAATATGTGGGATAAGGCATTAGAGAACAATATTCAGTCGGTTGAAGGTAATAGCGATTCATATCATCTTTCAGTTTAAGTTTTCCTTGCATCTTGGTTTTAGATTGATTATGACAGTTCATGATGGTAAAGGTACTATATTCTAATATTTTCTACTCCTTTATAGTTGAAGAATGGTTTCATTTTGTGCTAAAAACTGCAACATCAACAACATCAACCCATTTACCATTGATGTACCAAGAGGAATGTACAGATCGATGTAAAGAGGATTCCACCCACACTTGTGAAAGTTTTACATATTGTCCTCTACCAGTTAAAGGAGACTGTTATTTAAACCAACCGACAGATGTCAATATGTTAAACTCGACCAAAGACTGTGATACGTATGAAAAGCTTTCATTTGAACATAGAGGTAAAAACATATATTGCGAATCCATATACTGATCCCATTCTTATAATAGTTATTTTTATTGTTGTATAATGACAAATTAAAATCGTAATCTGATAGATTTATTACTCCATGTGGTTTTCCAAGTATAGAGGTCTATTTTATTATTTTGCTTTTGTTGCAGATTATGCCATTCCTGGTTGCTATGAGGCAGAATTTGTTCAATCAGGCATGTTGTCCAAGCTTTCAATTGAATGCCGACGTCAGTGTTATCCACATTTTAAATATTCTGGTATCAAAAATGGCTCTATCTGTTTATGTGGCCAGGACATTTCCTCTACGGCCAGTCTACCTGCTACGAACTGTAACATATCATGTAAACACCCAGAGGAGATGTGTGGAGGAAGCGACGCGATGTCAGTCTTCAGAACAACATTTGTGGAAGATTATGTGACCCCAAAAAACTCTCTCCTTGAATTTAACGTTACTCTGACTCCAGGCGAAGATCTTATTATTGGAGAAACTCTCATCCTTAATTACACAGTGAACAATGATACTTCTGCTGGGTATAAAATCGAAACATCATTTAACCTTTACCCGATCTTCACCAATGAACATTCCACATCTCTACATCTAAACCAGTCAGGAAGCGTTGATATCGTAGTGACGGCCATGAATGAAATCGGTCAAATAGAAAGTTATCACCAAGTTATGGTATCCGGTTATATTGAGGCTGTTCACTTCCCTACCAAGCTGTTAGGTTTTCCGGACCAAAATATAGATATCAATGTGACGATTGTTGGTGGGACACATGCCGAATGTTTCATGGACTTTGGTGATGGACAAAATCAAAGTATGTCCCAGTTCGAATCCAATGAGATGGTTATATTCACACACACTTACACTGATGATGCAATTTTCCCGCTCTTGGTTTCTTGTGAAAATAAAGTATCAGGGGCACAAAACTCTAGTGCTATTATAATACAAGAGGAGATAACTGGTTTAACATTATTTTGTAATAACGTATATCACTATCCGAACGACATTTCGATATCCTGGAATATTAGCTCTGGTTCTGTAGTATCATATAGCTTGTATATTGGAGGTCAAGAGGTTGCTAACATGTCCACATCTGCATGGGCTCTTATACCATTGTCTTCATACATTCGAACCGGAGAACACCAAGTTGAACTACATGCAAAGAATCTGGTATCGCAAATGATTATTAAAAGAAGTGTTAATATCGAAATTCCAATTACATATATCACTCTGACAACAGATGACCCCTATTTTGCAGTAGGAGAAAATGTTGAATTTAAAATCTACGTCCATGAAGGTTCAACAATAAATTTTACAATAAACTATATGGAGGGAACAGAGACACAAACTAGTGTGGCCGAAAATTGTTCCGATAAAAATTATTATTTTAACCATACATATAACACAATTGGCACTTATAACGTATCGGCTGTTGCATCCAATTTTATCAGTTTTGTAGAGAATTACACACAGGTCATTGTTCAAGATCCTGTACCTGATGTAACTGTAACAGTTCATAATATCACAGGGCCAGAAATATCGTTACAGGTTATTTTGAATATTCCTTTGACGAGCATCTTTCCCACTGATCCCACGTGTACCATTGATTTTGATGATGGTAATCCACCAGTTTCCTTCGAATGGCCTGAAAATCAGATGCAGAGTTACACGTACACTTACAACTATAAAACGGATGGGTTGTTTGAAGTTAATGTAACTGTATGGAACCTGGTTAGTAGTTTTAGCAAAACATATACAGTAATGGTTGGACAAGCTATTCACAATCTTCATGTAAACACTGATAGTACAAATGGTGTAATAGCAACTGATAACATTCTTACTGTCAATGCTGATGTTAATCTGGGATCATATATCACATATGTTTATGACTTTGGCGATGGGACCATTATCACACACGACTACTACCTTGCTTCTCCTAATGCCTTGGATATGTGTTCACATACTTACCATATTCCAGGAACATACCCGATAACTGTCCATGCTTGGAATTCCTTCACTAACATAACGGAGACTCTCATGATTGAGGTACAACAAGGTGTTGGGAAAATTGGAGTTTATTTCAAATCCCCAGTGAGGGTCAATAAAACTGCTGAGTTTATACTAGTCTTTGACAAACCACCAAGCAAAGCTTGCTCGGTATGGAGTTTTGGTGATGGATCACGACTGCTAGTCGGTGATGCAGAATGTCCAAATAATCCTGGTCATATTGGAATTGATTTCCAACCGGCAGATGGTGCTATCATCACAGTGAACCATGTTTATGCATCGAAAGCAGATTATAATCTGGACGTTATTACCAGTAACGATATTTCCTCTGACACTGCTTATTATTCTATATCAGTCAAACGCTTTAAGTGCATTCAACCAGACGTCTCAATTCTTGGATTTCCAAATGATATCAATCAAAGACTCAACATAGAAAAGCCACAAAAAATTGTTATTTTAGCAAATGTCATAACAGATTGTGATCCTCCTATAGGGGTTGTGTACATATGGACTATAGAAAAGATCGATCTTATAAGTAATACCGAAAATATAGAGGTAGATCCACCTGAAAGTGATTTTCCGTCTATGATACTTCCCGAGAACTACCTCAATTATGGTGTATACAAAGTGTCATTGACCGTTGCTTATATAAGTACATCAAATCTGAATAGTGCGAATCATTCTGTTTACTTTGAAATTGTACCAACAGACCTGGTGGTTAAGATAGAGGGTGATGACTATATTACAGCATCTCACAACAGTATTCTTCGTCTTGATGCTAGCAATTCTTATGATCCCGATTACGGACCAGGTGATATCCACTTTAAATGGTATTGTCGACTTTCTGCCGAAAATTTTAGTATTTCTAAATCGAAGCGGCCAAGTGATATAGTTGATACCAGTAGTCCAGGCTGTTTCGGTAATGGTGTCGGATTGATTGACGGTGCTGATAATTCAGTCATTTCGTTCCCAGCAAAAGCTTTTGCTCCGGACCAAGAGTATGTGTTTATGGTAGCTATATCTAAAGGCATTCGACTGACGTTCACACAACAGACTGTAAAAATAACAGATAAGGCATCGCATCATATTATTATGAGGTATATGTATTCTTGTTTTTATCATTATAGATAGTTGATAATACAGAGTAATTCGTTTATGTACGTCAAATGCCATCAAAAAAAGAAAACAGTAGTGTGTGGTTCATACACTAGGTTTTTAGCTTCAATAAACCTTGGAGCATAAGATGATAACTGATACAAATGTATAATAATGCCTTAAAAAGGTAACGTTTTAATCTTCAAATTACTTTGTAGCTGTGAGGATAATTGTGGTACAAAAACATCTAGAGATTTACCAGTCAGATTTAGAAGTAATTGTTTATCTTGTACCAATGAAGAGAAATTCCTGTTGTCATATTCCTGGCAGTTATTCTTGGTTCAACCGGACGGGTCTACATTGGAGCAATTGGATTTTGAAAACCACACAACCACCGGTAGGTTTAGATTTTAATTTCCGTTGACCAATAATTTTGATGTGTCCTAACTCTTCGAATGGCGATCTAAAAATATTTTACTTTTATGACAAAGCTAAGTAGATTCATTCATATTTCTAGATGTTGATAGTGCAAATTTAATGATAAAAAGTCATTACCTGATGCAAGGACAAAGTTACAGGTGAGATGTTTTCAATATTTTTTATGAACCTTTAACGCACTGTTTCAGCGCAAGCTCTATGCTTTATGCAATCGTTAGTATTATATGGGATATCTTGTAATATTGATCACATACAGGAGCAATTGAGTGTTAAAATGACAAAATACACTGAAGACATTTGTGCTTACAGATTGCGACTATCAGCTGGAAGAAACAGTATCACAGAAAGAAGCATAACAATCAATTATCCACCCTATAATGGAAACTGTATCAGTAATATCTTTGCAGGTAAATGCTTCAAAATTGCCAATCCATGCAGTATATCCCCTTACTATAGATAAATCAGGTATGACTGAAATCTAGGACTTTCTTTGTGACAGTGGTTGACGACAATATCTAATCTATAAAACATTAGTTTAGTTAAAGTACGAAGTTTGTACTTACGATCGGACTAAAAGTCGGTCTAATATGATATTTTTGTGATTTACAGGCGTTGGTTTTAGTTCAGGATTCAGTATAAGCTGCAGTGGTTGGCTGGACGAAGACGATAGACCACAAAGGAATCCAAAAATAGATAGCAACGGGAACAGCCTATTGACATATAAACTGTTATATCATGTTCTGGGATCCTATTCGGAACCTCATATTTTCTGTACAGTAATAGGAGGTAATATCTCTACACCACAATTTACGCTAAGACCAGGTCGACCAGAACATGGGTATCTTATTAATGTGTTGATATACATAGAAGATAAATACCAATCACATCAGGATTTTGTAGTTCAACTTAAGGTAAAGTATAAAACTGTTCTAATAAAATACAGACAAGTGTAAGGTACTGAATAAATCAATGAACGTCGTAATGGTATTAACATTTTAACATAAAAAAAATTGGAACAATAAAATTTAGATATATATTCCGTTTAAAAGCCTTCATTTGAATTGATATTATGCAAAACTTTTACATCACTTTAGTAAATACATCGCACACAGAAGTTTTTTAGTGGTTTATTTTTATTTACAGATTGTTCCCGATAAGAAGGATATTTTGGGGTTATATGTCGATAATGAATACCAGGATTTTGAAGCTAAGAAAGATATGACGGCGATATTATTGATGAATATGGGAATCACAGAAATGATTCATGAAGAGGTAACGCCTGTTATAGTAGTAAGTCAAGATATGACGTCTGTATTTAAAACGACCTTGTCTTGTAGTAATACATGTACCAAACAATTATTCTTCCAGAATCAGTAACACTGCCACAGTACATCATAGTGCGATTTTATTATGGTTCATGATAATTGCTTGAAATTCAATGTAATAATTAGTAATTTAATTAAATTGATATATATTTATGGCGCTGTTATGTAAATTGCATCAATGTTCCTTTAAACTTATGCTCTCTGCTTTTAAGGAAAAAGATCCAAACTCCACAAGAGACATCCCAAATGTAAGTAGGAATTCCCTTTTCAATAAGAAATCAAGTGGTCAGTTGCTACTGACAGCGACGCAGGCCAAATTAATGATAAAGTATCGAAGAATTCTGAAAAGGTCATATTATTGTAAAATTTATCGTCAATGCTTCAGTTGTTCGTTTGATCCGTTTGTTACAGGCTAAAGAACAGATCATACAACAAATATCAAACCATATTCACTTGGTACAAACACCAGAACAGATCGAATTATTAACAGATTTATTGTTACATATATCAGATGAACTTGGATCATTGACATATCATACACAGGTATGTATGCTTCTCAGTTTTGTCAGTTTTTTCGTTTTCTAAAGATGGGAATATTTTTTACCATACCCATGCTAATTATACACTTAATATCGCTGTATAACAATGCTCAGGGTAATTTTATCTTTTCCAGAAAATGTTAGAGAAAATATATTCGAACATCATACCAAAACTTGATCAAATATTTAATAATTCAAAAGACACGGCGCAGATTAACACAGTTGGTAAAGGTAAGACACTTAGATGCTGGCCTAGTGCTGCCCAATGTACTAGTAAAGTAGGCAAGTAACACATGTCTGTAATAATTGAGTGTTCAGTATGATACGATGTTATTTGTCTCGGGTTGGTCCACTCTTGAATTCAGTATTTGTGTTTAAAATGTTCTTATTTTTTCTTTGGTTTTGATATTATTAGTAAATTTATAATTTTGTATTGAGTATCGATTACATTGTATCTATCATCTATTTTCTTAGGAATAACAAAGGGCTATTTACAGCTACTAACAGCACAAAAATTACATACATCTTGCTTTACTGATTGTAACCAACAGAAGTACCTGGTAAGCTCATTTGACTATCATAGCAGGAATAGGGTAAGGTGACTTTATAGTTGAATTCAACCCACCTAATTTTTATTGTGCGGAAAATAAATATGTGTGTGAAATCATTCCCTTAACGTATTAATTGCGACATGATTTCACATTCAACGTCTGAGTATCTAATTACCCAATGGTTTTTGGTCTTGTTGTTACAGTCAGAGAAGATCCTAGCTGGGTATAAAGATCGTTATAAATTAATCTCTATGATACAATCTGGTAGTGTACCAGGAGAGGTCTCCCCAGCAATTCATATAGGAGATTACATCAACTATATAGTATCTAGACATGATGCTAATACCATTCCTGGTGCTAGACTTTTTATTGATGATAAACATCTAGCAACTATACCGTCTTCAGTCAATAACTATATAGATCTATCACAGTACTCTAATCTGGATATAGAGGTAATTAATGATTTTCCATTTTAACGTCAGCTTCAAGTATTGGACACATTCTTCTCATAAATTATGCATAGTAAATGGATAAATTATGAATTTAGATATCCTTAAATTAGATTCCCACGTTTAGTCATCGTTTATAACATGTAAGACTAATAATAACGGATTTCAAGTGGCAATTTAACATTCTTATGTAGTATGATATAGCCAAATTTCAGCTCTGTTGGGTGAAAACATATACAGTGGACTGTATATACCCCTTTAGTATCAAAGGTGTCACAAAGATATATGTTATTTTTACAGGTGGTTGAAGGAGTTCACTTGTTTTCTACAAAGAACGATGAACAAATCACTAGTCGCACTACCAGTCTGGTTATATATGGTGATGGTCAGGTATTGGACGTATTCGGTCTTTTAGAACCAGTTACAGTCAAATTAATCTTGGACCCAAAAGTCAGAGATACCGTTACATTAACAGAATTGTCAACAAATAACACTGAATCTTTGAAATATATTAAAGTTCAGCTTGGTGAACCGGAAATGGTAACCAATGTTGAGTTTATTCCTTCCTATGAATTTGGATTATTTGATTACTATATTAGTATTGACGGTCAACCAACGGAGACTAATCATGAACTGAAAGGAACTATAGGACCCAAATCGTGGATTCTTCGTTTAAATGTTAATATGTTTGATAATGGATTTGGCATTGATACCTACAAATACGGTGGTGTTATTGCTTATATTGGTATCAAACCTAGATTCAGTAAGTATATAAATCTTTGTTTCTCCTTTGCCCAATCGTACAATTTTAATTTGCCTATCGCATTGATTCGCTTATTTCGATTCTGATCGATATGATTCAGCTCACCATCTGTAAATTACTTCATTCGTTTTACTTTGTAGACACCAGTCAACATTCTTCTGATATTGATGTTAGAATTTATTCTGTCGGTTGTTATTACTGGAATATAAAGCATAATATTTGGTCCAAGAAGGGTGTACAGGTATGTAAAACGAACAGACATCACAGTGTGTTAAGCGTTATCAGATGAAGACTCATGGACAAAGATTTAGATTGTCTGATTGCTAATTTCCTGCTATTTTTCTAATGACATTTTTATTTTCTAGCAGCTTTGGCATCGCTGATCGTAGAGCAGAATCAATTTTCTTCTATTATAGCCTACATACTTCATCATTACCTTTTTTTCTAGCATAGTGACGGGACTAATGTAGATAGTGTGGAATGTCTTACCAATCATTTAACAGATTTTGGTGCCAGTTTCTTTGTACCACCAAATACTATTAACTTTTCTACAGTATTTGATAAATTTAAAGATATTGGTGATAATGCTGCTGTTTTAAGTGTGGTTATTACATTGATTGTCCTATATTTCATTATTGTCCTTGTTGTAAGAAGAGCTGATCGAAAGGATTTGATGAAGGTAAGATGTGGTTTTATCAATTCCATCACTATTACTTTATTGAACAACTTGCGAATTTTGGTTGGGCAATAAAGTTTCTTTAATTCCAACCAATACCTAAAAAAAACAAGATAAAACGATTGGTTTTCTGATGATTTTTGAATTCTATTTTTCAAGTGGAGTGTTGAGCCATTAAGTGATAATATAGATACAGATATTTACCATTACCAAGTGACAGTCTACACTGGTATCAGACGTAATGCTGGAACCAATTCCAATATTTTCATAGTTTTAGCAGGTTTTGACGATGAATCAGAGATAAGAGCTTTAAAAGATGTCAAGAACAGGGTAAGGTCATGTAAAAAATGAAAAAGAAATAGTTTTTTTTAATTGATAAGATAGTCATTGATGCTTTCAAAAACTCTATCGGAGTGAAACGGCTCTTGCTGAAAAGTTTAAGCTTCAAGGGATAGAAAGAATTTTAGTCGTTCAAACATATCAAAGGGGTGTATCTAATCATTCGAGTAGAATGAGATAAGGATTGGATGCAGACATGTGAACTCTTTATTTAACCTTATTTAGGAATTCTCAACCGGAAGTGTAAGTAGCTACCTAATGAGTGTTCCTAGATCACTTGGAGACTTGACCTATTTGAGAATATGGCATGACAGTACAGGAAAATCAAAGATGGTCGACTGGTTTTTAAATCTGGTTGTAGTGAAAGATATTCAAAATGGAGCAAGGTAAACTTGTACTTCGCAACCTCTATGATTATTAATACCTTCTTGATCATAAGATAAAATAGGACCCTGAATGTCATGCAAACGATAATGATCGTTGCAACTTTAGGGGAACAGCATTAATCAAAAGAAGGCAAGAATTTTCAGAAAATTTACCTGATGGGATAAAGTTATTTTTTAAGACTCTCAATTTGACATGGATTTCACAGATTGGACGAATAGTTTTAGAATTACGTGCAAACACGATGAAAACTACATAAAAGTGATCCTTGTTTTCATTTCAGCTACGTATTCCTCTGTGATAGATGGTTGTCGTTGACAAAAGATGATGGAAAGACTGAAAGATTTTTACCAGTTGCTTCTAAAGAAGATCTGCAAAACTTTGCCCATTTATTCTTCTTCAAAAGTCGCAAGGATATAACCGACGGTCACTTGTGGTTTTCGGTGGTAGCTAGACCAACCAGAAGTCCCTTTACAAGAGTTCAGCGTCTATCTTGTTGTTTGTCATTGTTATTCACTACTATGATAGCTAATGCTATGTGGTACCAAACCACAGACGGCCTTGATTACTCTCAGAATGCCAGTGTTGGACCATTTACATTCTCTGCTCAAGAACTCCTCATCAGTTTGTTCGGAAGCTTTATAGTAGTGCCTGTCAATATCCTAATTGTAACTCTGTTCAGAAAATCAGCACCCGCTAAAGAAAAGGAAGTTTCTTTGAAGATCCATCCCAAAGTCACAGTAAAAGATACTCTGGGCAAAGAAGATACCATTATATCAAACGCTAACGATAATCCGTTTGAAAGCTTAACCAATACAAAGAAGAGGTTTCAACTACCACACTGGTGTGTCTATGTAGCATGGTTTCTAGTATTGTTATCGGTGTTTGTTAGTGGATCCTTTACTGTACTGTATAGCCAGGAATGGGGTGCTGAACGATCAGGAATGTGGTTATCTGCATTTTTCTTGTCTTTTCTGGAATCCATCATCATTGTTCAACCTCTCAAGGTAAGGATTTGAAAACATATTTATGTAAAATCAGGTGATTTCCCATACAAGCTGTATTGGTAGGTTAAAAACATTATTGATTATGTATTAATGTTACTAAGTTATTTCTCTTTACCAGGTAATTACAGTAGCTATTGTGGTAGCTGTGATATTCAGATCTACCAGTGAATATGAGGATGATAAAGAAAGTGAACTGGAAGTTTATGATATTGTTAAGACTGGTAAACAGGGCACAATTGGTCCAGAAACTCCTGCTTATCCTAGTAAGATTTTTTATTAACATTAATTTGTCCTGTTTCCAGCAAACTTATTAACAGTCGTTAATATGTGCAAGAAAACAAAACTGTATATTGAAATTTGGATTTTATAACCCTCAAAATTGTTTTAAGATTGTGCGTCAATAATTCATGTGAGCTCATGTGAGTTACTTAATCTTTGTTTGTAATTTCAAGCTCATCGTAAACCATATACAGATAGAAATGTAGATGTTGAAAATCTGGAAAAAGTGAGGGAATATAGGAAGAAACAAAGTAGATTATTTGGCGTCTTTCAAGAGGTCGGTTTAATTTATATACAAGTGTCCACCATATGTCCAGGGATATAATGATATTTTTCATTTCCAAAAATAAAGCCTACTTCTTTTCAATTCAGAGACACACAAATTAATTTGCCACACATGAGGAGTAGTAAAATTGTGGGAATTAATATTGCATTCTTAAGGTTCTGCTCGACACTAATGTTTAAAAATGTTCAAGAGAAATCAGGCTATGTCGCTATATTGTATTTCAATATCATTTCAGATAATAGTATACAGTTTCTATGTTATCACCATTGCTATATTATGTTATGAAAGTAAAGATACCACAGGCTATGGTGAAGTTAATGGTATCCGAGACCTGTTCATAGAAGACCTGGATGCACCGAATGTTATTAAAGGTCATCGTGGATTGGAGGGGGTAAGAGAAAGCCATGTACATCTTGCTTTACTAAGTGGATTTTATCCAAGGAAAACACTTTCAGCATGCAAAATGAACGTTTGACAGATTTTTGCTATATTATCGTTCACAATAACAGTTTTTTTTGCCTTGTTGGTGGTTTGATTAAATTCCTTTCAGATATCAAGTTATGAGAATTTCTGGGAATGGTGTGATGAGAGGTTATTGCCCAATCTATACAGGAGAAATTACTATAATAAAGACGAAGTATCACCGAATCAGAAACTGTTACTTTCTGATGGAATACATTTTAGAGTTGGATTGCCCCAACTTAGACAAGCAAGAGTTAAAACAGGTACGCTATGCTTACTGGAGTCAGTTCTGAAACAGCTATCAAATCGGAAACCTCTTATCCATGTGAAATGGTAATGGTTGTCAATGTTAAATAATGTCGTTTGTCACAGCTCTTGAGTCTTACATAACCATTCGCGTGCATTATTATGTTGATGCTATCTCTTAGTTCTCTTCATTATTTGTTTATATCGAGCGATTGATTTATTGTAAAATGCTATTCTATTCTATTCAGATACATGTGACGTGAATGCACATCTTATACGAACTGTCAGCGACTGCTTAGATGACTATGAACTATCAACATACGATGATGTAAATTATGAAGTTGGGTGGAAAGATACATTCAAAAACACAACACTGGACAAAAAACCTTGGCAATATAAAGGAACATTGGAAGTCAATGGGTTCCCGATAGCTGGAGACCGAGCTACGTATGGAGGAGGTGGCTATACGGCTGTATTGGAGGATAACTTGGCGGAATCAGAGGACATTATTTTATATTTGAAATCTCAGAGATGGTTAGACAGACAAACCCGAGCAGTATTTGTGGAAGTCAATCTGTACAACCCAAGTGTAAATATGTTTACTGTAGTCAACATGATGTTAGAATTCCCACCAACTGGAAGTGTTTCAACAAAAGCATTCATCACACCAATAAGATTGTACCGCTATGTTGGTCCTTCGGCTATCTTTATAATATTACTGGATTTAGTATTTGTGGCGTTCACATTGTTTTATCTGATACAGCAATGTAAACTAATGAAGAAGATTGGTATGACATATTTCCAAGAATTCTGGAATTGTATTGAGTTCATGAATACTATATCTGCTATATTGTGTTGTGCTTTCTATGGCGTTCACTATCTGTTTACTGAAATGACACTCTCAGATTTCTATGATAATGCAGGTATGTTATTATTTATTAATTGTTTTTAATCTTGAGAAAAAACTTCAGATAAACACATTTAACCATTATGGATTGAATAAACGGAGGTGGTGAATCCATAAAAATCAAGACTGTTCCTAAACAGATTCTTAGAGTTTGAATTCAGTAATTAGACGAAGGTGGCTGTGCAATTAATACTCTGTTTCCACTCTGAATAAAATAATTGAACCATAAACTTTGTTTCATTGATTCTGGTGGCCGATGATGTACTAACATTAGCAGTATAACAATTACCAGTAAGACCTGTTGAATGATAGATCATGAATGATTAAACAAACTTCATATTTTCTTTTCAGCTCAGTTCGTTAACTTCCAGAGAATTGTATTGTGGGATGAAATATTCTGTTTTACTCAAGCCTTCTTGTTATTTTTCTCAATGTTGAAATTGCTACGACTAGTGAGATTCAATTCTAAAGTTACTCAGTTAGCGGGAACATTACGTAGATCTGTATGGCCAGTGTTCAACTTCTGTATAGTATTCACCATTATATTTGTTGCATTTGCTATATCTGGCTATATAGTATTTGGCTCCCAGAATGCTGAGTATTCTACACCCCTTACGACGATGCAAACACTGTTTTCAATGCTACTGATGAAAGTGAATATCGATCCACTTATTGCCACGGATCAGTTTATTGGTCCATTATATGTATTTATTTATATATTGATGGTTGTATTTATACTAATCAACATGTTTATGAGCATACTAAATGATACCTTCACGGCTGTGCGATGTGATAAAGCCTGTCTACCAGATGACCCGGCAATGGTGAATTTTATGATAAATGAATTCAAGAGATTAATTGGAGCTTCTGATACTTATGACTGTAAGTTCAAATTCTTATTGAATTTTACCATAGGTTCGATCACTATCACAGTAAATCCAAGAAATCAAATGCAAGGCGAGGAGCTCGGGTCCGTCTGCTTTCAAAGGACGGTACCATAACCTCGTTAATGTATATGATATTTATTGTGTTTTTGTACTCACCTTTAATTATTATGTTCAAAGTAATCATTCAGTAATCAAGAAGGGTTGGTCGAACTTAGGAGAACAAAAGAATGATGTAAATCTTTTAGATGCCTAATTAGCTATTGTTCTTTTACAGATAATAGATCAAAAGAAAATCAGAAGAAAACTGGTAGTAGAGAGGAATTGAAACTAGGGGAAACAACCCCGACCTATCAATTTCTTACATCCGTCTACACACATTTCAAATCAGAAAAGACTTACAAACCAAAATCAGAAGACTTATCAATCTAAATCAGATACCTTCTGATAAGGAATATCCAAATTTGATTTTTATGAACTAGTAGATTTATATAATTATAGCCTATAATTTTCACGTTATAGATACGAAATGTGAAATAGAGAGCATACATCGATACAGTTGTTCAATCAATACATTCCTGCCTTGTCCATTTTAGACGAGTTCATATATTATTATGAATGATGACATAAATAAGCTACATATTTCTGTGATGATAGAATATTGTGATATATAGCCTATATCTATTGAATTAAAAATTATTATGCAATGAAATCTGTATGATCTTAATACTGTTTTTGGCGAACATAGTCGGTAAGCTAGTCAAGGATAAGGTCCTACACGTTTATTTATCAAAAGGTATAAATTCTGTTGCCTTAAATTATTGGCACTACGTATTGTTTGAAGCAATACAGCAAATCAAGAAATAGCTCGATTTCAACCATCTTATGTGCTGTTCTACAACGCTACAATAAAACATAAATTGAGTAGCTCCACTCCTGCAGTCATGGTTATGAAACATCATTTGTTAGAATTATACCTATACCTCCAGTATCATGACGAATATTTTGAGTGGCTACAAATCGTCCAACGACTCTGGAGATACAGTAATGTCAGTAACATCAATTTATGAAAAGTGATTTGTGTTATTTTATAAGATCTTTAACCACTCTATCTTTTGTGCAAAATCCTATTTTAAAATGCAATCTCTATTTAAGATAATTAATGGAGAAAGTTTGTTTGTTAAATTGTAACAGACCACGGGGTAAAATGTAACATAACAATACAACACATGTACTCGTAAATATAGTGTATATTTTGGGGCTACCAGAAATACTTTATAGCGTTAAACAAGTACAATCTCAATTCCAAAAAAACAATTAAAGCTTACATTCTTTCCTGGTAGAAAAGATTACATTTAAAACATAAGATGATTTTTAAAAAGCAAAAACAGATTCGTCCGAGCAGTCACAATTGTGGCAAATGTATGAATTCACTCTGTTAGTGCAATGTTCGTGCGACCAGAGGTAACATTGAACACATTGTATCCACTTGCCACCTGTTTTTCTAATTGATTATACGTCTAGGCATACCTAAATACAGTTACAACTTACCTCACGAAGAATGTTACAATTAACTGCAGCGCACCTATATTCCTGCAGAACCACGATTGCCATCGGGCCTATGTGGTGTCGAAATATTTTGTTGGAAATTTCCAAAGAGGAGCGCGGAATGGATGCCCTTCCAGAGCCGTTCAGTTTTTCAAAAATTGTTCTTCCGCCGATGTCAACCCATCACCTTCACAGTCGCGTTCTTGTGCCATATGTCAACCCGGTTAATATTGGTGTTGGCAAGGCCTTAATTAGCCCCACCATTCAAACCGGGTCGTCCACAGAAACCATCGGATGATCGCTTGTTCTCACCGCGACCGATCACTATCTGCAAACGATGTTTTCAAGTCATCGGAAAAGGGATTCCACATCCTTGACCATGTACTGTGGCTTTCTGAGACATAAGAATTACGGCGAGAAACTTCTTCAGTGCGTCATTTCCAATTGTTCTCAACACATGTAATGTATATGACTCTCGTGGCAAGGTTAAAGAGGTTAAAGTTTCCAAATTTTATAATTGCCTTTATATTGTCTATAGATTTTCGTATCGAACAAAGTTGACTTGTTTGTAGAATTTGGTCTTCACTCAACATTTTATCCGTTTTCCAGCGTTTTTATTCATTTTCGGGCATAACTTCGAAGGGGGGCTATAAAATATGTTTCTCGATATTTATTTTTTGGACTGCCACATGAGTATTCTAAGACCATATAATCGTTTTCCCGTGAACTTTTTATGACCCTACGAATATTTCACCAGATGTGTGTTATGAATAGTGTAACAGTGTTCGATCACCGTCTCATCACAGAAGTGCCTTCCAATAATGGCTCGTTTCCCTTATCATAGATTTAACATGTTATGGACAAGATTTGAAAATATCTAAAATTTTATGTTTGATAAACATTTGCAGCAGACCTTGAATCTTTTGTTCGATGTGTGCTAATTTGTGGGCGGCACTGTTATGAAGAATTGTCAGGAAGGATAGTTCGTAAAAAGGCACCTGTGTAATCTGCAAAATAGGTCTGAGTGTTTCGGACTATAATTTATTGATATGCAATGTGTTGTGTAATATAGTGTCTATATTTCCTCTTGTTATTTCATACTCCCACAGCCCCATCGAGTATTCCATAGAAATTTAAAACGATTGTCAGATATTAATTGATTGATGAAATAACTGTCACTTCAGCTGGCGCAATTTTTCACTTTCGTTAAAACCAACTTTTCAGAATATAGCTATTATTGAAATTTTGAAAACCAAGAGTTGGTCCTTAGAACGGCTCGATATTTTTAGTTTAAATTTCCAGAGAAAGTAAGAGAGCCATTTCTCTACAATTTGGCGTACATTTTTTAGTTTTCTCACGAACCAAAATCATAGCGACATGGTTGTCTAATCAGTAATAGTGTTCACAGGTCACCGTCGAAATTTGTGTCTTCAAATCCATGTGTGACCTCAATTATCTGAGTTCGAATGTTAAATTATCTAGTCAATTTAAGTAATCTGTTATATATAGAAAAGACATAAATAGAAGTAGTGAGTAAAATTCCTAGTTTGGAGGGTTTTTTTAAAGGAATAATGTGATTTTCGTACATTTCTAGTAGCCTACTTCTGAAGACTATTTACATGTTTTCAAGACTAAAATCAACTCCCCAAAATGGTACACATATTACTTTAGGCCTAACAGTTTAAGTTAAATCCAACTTTCCGCACTTTCCAAACAAAAATCAGACTCCCTCTTTAACGAATTTCTGGAAAGGATTGAAGTTGGTTTATTTGTGGTCTGATAGTAGATATTATTGTAAGAGTTATTTGCATTTAAATAAACTCTCTTTTCAGTGAGTTAGGAATGCTCCAATGTTTACAATCTGAAATTGCACGTGTGGGTAATAGTAGGACTGCGGCTCTGAAGATCATTTTGATTGTGAAATTCAGTTCTAAATAAGATAAGTTAAAATGGCAGAATATGTCCAACAAAACATTGAAGATATGCTCCCTGAGCTTGAGCAATTAGAACGAGTTGGTTTATTCACAAAAGATGAAACTCGGTACGGCAAATATTCAATAAATCCAATCATTCAATCATCAATGTCAATGTTGTAGTCTAGTGAATTTGAATGTGAATTTGCAAAGAAGTGTAAATATCATATTTCTTAATTTGTTAAAATTGAAATGGTGGAGCAAACCTTTTTTTTTAGGGGGGGTGGGGGTGTTGGGAGTTGAGCAGGTTCATTTCTAGCTTCATGTTTCTATTCTTAGTACGGTAATAATTATTTGCAAAATATGGTTCAGAAACACAGTGGTAGTAGTGGTCTATCAGTTAGATCATCTGATCTGATTGATCTGAATCACATGATGATACAATAAAATGTGTCTTAATCAGAATTTTGTTTCACCAGTTCTCTTTATTTGTGACCTTGGCAGGAATTTTTATGAAGTTCTTCGTTCTATATACCAATTTGTCTGATTTACTCTATCATTCAGACAAATATTAAAGAAAAGACAAGGTTATGAATATAGATTAAGAAGACAAACAAAATGTAAAGAAGATTTTTTACAATATATTCAGGTAAATATTAATGATATCAGATTGGGTATGAGTTAGATTTGCTGTGAATTTACATCCATGAGTCTACAATTATTTTATTGTTGCTGATGCTATTTTTACCCATTGGTTTGAGACATTGAATACAGCAGGACCTATAGGACTAAATATTCATAGTACAGTCGAGTAACCTAATTTTGTGGAAACCTATTATTCGTGGATTTCTGGAAAGGATTAATAATTTACATGAGCGACCTTGTGCGACCTCCGCATTAGTTTGTTTTAATAAACATGGGTTTTCTGTACAATATCAGCTAGAAGAATGAATCCAGTAGTTTCAAGTAAGGTAAAATGTATTAATGTATACTTTGACAAATACAAAATGGCGGATTTCACTTATTACCAAACGTCACCATTGGCCGAATTTCCTTATAATCCCTAGCCGTAATCGGAATTCCGAGTGTCGTCTGCTAGAATGTAGTCCAACGAATGAAGTCACGTGATCAACTAGCGGATTCCGTGTCAGCAGAAAATTTCTATGGAACACAAAGTGGACCATATTCTTATGTTGTTTCAGTGACTTTTAGCAATAAAAGTTTTGTCAGTCACTATTTTTTTTTTAAATCGTGGTTCTTTGAAGGAATTGTCACTAGTTATAATGAATTGATATTAAAGATAAATACTAAGAGAAGTTAATTATACCACCCGGTATCCATACAATGTGTTTTTCTAGACTTATTTATAGATCAAACATTGTACACGAAAATAGGTGATGCATTCTGCCGCCGTTGCCGAGTTGGTTGTTCATGAAATATGGGTCAAAGTGAAGGATTCATACAGAAAATCAAATAAACCAATTTTGATTATTTTGTAGAATATCTGAGGAAACATCTAAGACATAAAAAAAAAATTTCGTTTTTAACTTTGACAAAATTCGGTGTTGAATCCTTAAATCCACGAAAATAGGTTACACCACTGTACTATTTCATAGTAAACCAAAAACAATCAGTACATAACAGATACTATACTTCTCGCCCATTGGGCAAGTTATTTTTTCTAATTTCAGATCAGAATCAGGACAGAAGAAAACCCAATATCAAGACCCTTAATCCTTAATAAAGGCCTGTACATTTGGGAGAATCAAACCCTCCCTTCCCCGAAATATAAATGAATAATACTATATATGATAATGCTGAATGATGATCCACATAACTCACTGTAAAACATTAAATACTCAAATATGATTGAAATTATTTTGTTTCAGTATGAGATAAACTGTTTATCTTTATTACACAAGAGAAGAGAAGTAAGTAAATGTTTTATTCTGGTGTGAATTTTATAAAGATGAATTTATTATTGAAATAAGTGTAACACCCTAGCACTGTTCTTTTCTATTCTAATGCTTACAGGTGCTATAAAATCAGTATCTTTAAAATATCTTTAAAACACTGTGGAAGAACAAAACATATAATTCCTTGGTCTAAATTACAATGTATATAAAATACTTATTGCAGAAAACTGGATATTCATTCAAACAGTTGAACATAGAAAATGTTATTAAAGATAGAATTCATAAATTATTTAGAGTAAGTTAGTTCATATTATTTTTACATTAGAACTCATTATGTCTCATCAAAATCTAGAACTGAGAACAGAGATGCTGCACTTCATAAAATAGTTCTAAAAGAAAAACAAGTAAAAGAAATTATCATGATTATACATATTCTCTTAAACCATAGTTCTGATTCTTGAGCAACTGTTTGATTGATCATCATGTTTAACATATTCCTATTCTTTTATTACAGATGGTTACTTACAGATTTCAGGTAAATACATTACAATAACTTTCCTTTTAACCTGCATCATGAGATGGTAAGATTATCGCATTACTAATATTTAAAGTCTATATTTGGCTCATTTCTTACAACTTGTTTTAAGAATTGAATATTTACTATTTGATATTTATTACGTGTTGATCTGAAAACTATGTGATTGTTTTTATAGGATGATATTAAACTATGGTTATCACATATTGCTTTCTGTGAGTCTAAGGTAGGTTACAATAAGTGCCTTCTGTTGGATAGTAACTTGTTACCTTTCAACTACCCTAATCAATAATATACTATTTACGATGCCTAGTTGACTGTGCTAGGTTGAAAGATTTCTGCTTTACATTTCCTATTCCTCAGACCACTTATTTTGCAGATATTTTTAGTAGTCAAAAAACAACTGTATATAAACAAATTATTGCAGATATGATTAGATATAAACCAATCGTGAATTGAAAAACATTACTTATTTGTTGTTCTGTTTATAGAAGTTGTCTCCCTTGTATTAATAACTTCATCATCTTGTAACTTTATAGGAAGATTCTGTGCGAGTTGGTAAAATATTCACAAGAATGTTACAAGTTCACAATAAAAAACCAGGTATAGCTTTCACTTGATCTAATAGAAAGCCCATGAAATGATTAAGGTTCATTAAAAACAAATCTATAAGTTTTAATTTAAATTCTTCAGGAAATTCTTTTTTTTAGTGAATCGAATCAATACATGTATAAATATGTCTATCAATTCATGTGGTCGTGTATTGACGGGGCATACTTGACAAACATTCATGTATCTATAACAAACTATCAAATTCCATGAAATGTTCCATCATTGAACAAAATGTGGCATGACTTTGTTTTTCAACAATAAATAAGTACATGATCTGAAAAAATACAGCTGTTGAGTGTTTAAATTGTGCCAACGCTTGACAATTCACTTTACATTTATATTCTAGAAATATGGATTCTTGCTGCTAAATGGGAGTTTGAACATAAAAATGCTGAAAACTCTAGATCGACTTTTCAGAGAGGTCTGAGGTTCAATCCTGATTCTAAACAACTGTTTTTAGAGGTAGTGGGAAGAATTATTTTTAAGTTTTTTTATCCTTTAGTGTTCATTTAACTAGTTTAAAAAGTAATACGAATGAATTATGTCAGTAATGTTAATAAGTTTGAATCAATGTATATCTTGTAATGTATAATAATGCTTTGTTTTTTAGTATTACAGAATGGAATTGCTGTATACAGATAAAGTAAGTTTTGTTTCAGTTATTTATTCTTTTTTAGACCTCAATAGTTATTTATTCTTTTTTAGACCTCAATAGTTATTTATTCTTTTTTAGACCTCAATAGTTATTATTCTTTTTTAGACCTCAATAGTTATTATTCTTTTTTAGATCTCAATAGTTATTTATTCTTTTTTAGACCTCAATAGTTATTATTCTTTTTTAGACCTCAATAGTTATTATTCTTTTTTAGACCTCAATAGTTATTTATTCTTTTTTAGACCTCAATAGTTATTTATTCTTTTTTAGACCTCAATAGTTATTTATTCTTTTTTAGATCTCAATAGTTATTATTCTTTTTTAGACCTCAATAGTTATTATTCTTTTTTAGACCTCAATAGTTATTATTCTTTTTTAGACCTCAATAGTTATTTATTCTTTTTTAGATCTCAATAGTTATTATTCTTTTTTAGACCTCAATAGTTATTATTCTTTTTTAGACCTCAATAGTTATTATTATTTTGCTTGAATTAAATTCCCAGTTAGCTGAAGCTGGTTGAGGAAAAAATTTCTTACAGAAACATTGAATTTAATGCTTAATTTCATTCGCTATATGTAATTAATGGTTTGATATTGTCTTAATTTGTTTCAGATACTAAAAAGGAAGAAAATTTTAGGACTAGATGATCCAGAGGTAAGATACAGGTCAAATGTGATTTATACAATATTGTTTACATCATATTTATACACCATTGTTTACATCATATTTATACACCATTGTTTACATCATATTTATACACCATTGTTTACATCATATTTATACACCATATTTATACACCATTGTTTACATCATAATTATGCACAAATGTTTATACCAACTGAGCACACTATTGTTTATTTGTGTATCAGTATGTGTCTGTAGTAAATTCCAACTAAGCCTACAACACAACAGTTAGAGAATATAATCATGAAGGAATATTTGATCTTTTTTAATAGGTATTGGGAACACAGAAAGATGCTATATTATCTGGTAAAGTAGCTATGGTTGTTTATAAACAGGCTAAAGAATCATTCCCTGGTAATTTGCCATTCACATATATTTTAATTACATTACATCTCAAGTAAATCTAAGTGCTTGTCTTATACTTTAACTTTATTGATGATATTTTTCTTATTAAACTTTTCTGTGATGTATAGTAATCTACTATACACTACTGTGTATGTGCTTTAGCTTGAATATGTATTTTTCTTCTCAATAAGATCTTTTCTTTATAGATGATGTAGACATGATTTTAAAGTTTATTGATATTTCCCGACTTTTTGATTTTACACAACAACAGCTTCAACAAATGTATACAGAGTAAGTAATTTCAATATTAGATCTCTTTTACAATGGCTGATTTTGCAGAGGTTCCAACACACACTTCAGTTCATTGTCTTGTAATAACTGCAAATTAATAAGACATAAAATGGAGCCCTTGGTATGCATCTAATTGAAGATTCTTAGGTAAATTTAAAAAAGAAACACTTCTATCATTGCTCATTTTATGTGATATGTCATTCTTAATTGAAATGTTAAGCTGCAATGTCTTATTGCTTACGAAGTAGAAAGTACCAAATTTAAGTTCACTAAAGTTGGTTATTTCCCTTTCACCCTTTATTACAGTTTAAAGACAGATTATGGTGATAGCACATTAACCTGGGATGCACTAGCTAAACAATGTATGCTGGATGAATCAGGTGAGATTAAAGAGCTGAAAATTGGATAAAAAAAGGGAATAAATGCCATTCTACTCTCCTATAGTCTGTAAAGCAAAGATCTCCAAAGCTCCTGTTATGTGATATTTATGGCTTAAATGTTGTATTTAGACTTGGATGTGAACTATGTGATGCAGCTGTGCATTTAGAATACTTATTTTTTCTTTACTTAACAACATTTTTAGAATATGAATTAACAGATTAGGTCAGATTTGATAAGAAAATGTATTTTACTTTGTGTTGAATACTCTTTGATTGCAACTATAGAAATTTGATATTTTAGGAAAACATCCCGATCAGACTAAAGAATTAAAAATGCACGAAGTTTACGAGCAGGCTTTAACAAAGATGAACACAAGTAAGCTAATATATATATATCACATTTTACATACATAGGGAAAGGGTTAACATAGATAAGTACATAAACACTTTATATACCATTCATTTATTTCCCCAAAAAACCCATATTTCCATTCATACATTTACCATTGCATTATTCAAAAAAAACTTAAACTATGTAGATATCAAACTGAAGCTCAGACTTAAAACATGATAACATGTGTCTGTACAATGATTCCGTAAAACTGCTCATGAAATGATGGAGGAGAGGAGAATCCCCCACAGTTGATGTCAAAAGGGGATTTTCCAAAGTTGGCACCTTGTCATCTGTCTGTAGCCACCCGCAAACTGAAAAAATCACCCACGATGCCATCTATTGTGTATACAGAGGTATTGAGTTTGAGTTTAGGACACATGCAAGCAGACATTCAGATTTGCTAGGGATTGGGAAAGGGTTTGCCGCGGTCTGATTTTTATTGTTTTTGCGTTTGCGTAAACATGTATTAGCAGCTTAATACAACATCTGACCTTGAGATTTAAAAAAAAAGAATATTCATGTATTTTCACATGCATAGATCAGATAGTATATGACTTAACCTATTAGTGATAAATACTTTTAAGTCAAGCAAATTTCTTGATTTACACAAATATCTGAATGAAAATTACAATAAAAGCATAGGGTCTAAAGTATAAATAGCTCCATTCATTTAAAATTGTGACAATTTGATGGTCAGTTGATCTGTACAATATGAATGAGGTCAAGTGCTGACCTATATATGATATTTAATTGTGTACAGACTGTATATATTGTAACTATTGACACACAAAATATCACTTGTATTTGGTATGAAAACAGTCTTATTTCAATTACCATGGTCATTATATAGACATTAGTGTGATTGAATATAATATGGAAGATTAATTTTCTTGTGTCTCCTTCTTTCTCATATTTTATCACAGAATCTTACTTTGAAATTTCACATCAGATGAACAAAACAGGTTTCTGTTAAACTTGATTCCTTTTCTCGTCTAAGAGTTACTTTGAAATACAAAATAAAGTAGTTAATACCAAACAGTTTATGCAATAAGACAGGCCCATATCCAGAGATGATAGTTCAGAGAGTAAAGGGGCAATGGTGTATGGTGTTGAGTTGCAGTAAAGGAATTGGTCACTTTTCAGAATTTTTTCAGGGAGGCAATCCATTTTTTTGGTTATCCTCCTATGGGCCTGCCGGTCTACAGACCTGCAATAAGAATTTATAGTTCTGATTCTAAACTGACTATAATTCATTTGGAATCAGTATATGTTGTTTTTATTGGTTTATTGATATGATTCACAATCAGCCAATAGTCATGTATTATGAATATTGAAACCTATCATAATATTGACCATATATTAGTCATTGGTCCACTAGTATTCTACTAAACATGTACTCTTGTTGACTTATATTGTTCAATACTAATAGCTAAAAACTTAATACTTGTACTTGTCTAATTGATCCTCTTTGTTAGTCCAATCCAACAGAAATAGGATCTTTATTTTTACTTATATATTGTCTTTTATTAGTTCTGGCTATATTTCTCCAGAGTTTGATTATTATTGTGGGCCTTTATTTCTTTAGCAAAATCTTACATATTATATGGTAATGACATCCTCTTCTTAAACAATTCTAAAAAATCATTCAAGGTTTAGTTTGAATTTTAGAATTTTAGGGAATTTTGTTGTTTCCAAAGGCACACAGTATCATCAGTGAGGTCTTGTTTAGCAGATTCTGTTCAAAACAGGAAGAGCTCTATATTGTTTTGAAGAATGCATCTGGCATCTGGTTTGACTGTACTTGAAGAAGAAATAATGACAGTAATAGCAGATCTGGTCTGTTACAGTGACTTTTCTTATCATCCTAACCATAATAACAGAACAGAATTCTGAAATGGACATGATAACCAATAAAACTGGAATATACTAGCTGGAAGTTACTAGTTACATATTAAATAGAATATTGTCCAGATAAGTATTAGTTGTTGATGAAAAGAGGTATTCTCATTTACTACATATAGTGTTAATGGATATTTTCACTCTAATGTTTCATTATGAACTGATATATTGAATGAGAAACAATTAATAAAGGTAGAGAGGTTTTTCTGATTACATTCACCATGATAAATGACCAACTAGATTGACTATAATCATGCTTCTTTAAACAAGAGATCTTGTGGAGCCAGTTGATAAAAGATCTCCATTCTTCATAGAAATAGAAAATGTTTCTCTGGGAAATGTCTATATTTTTAAGAATACGGGTCGTGTATACTTAAAGGATCTTAGTGCTGGAATGTCGTAAAAACAGTGTTAGAGGTCAAGACACTAGGATATTCTAGTGCGAAGATCATGGCTGGCCAGGAGTCTAATTTGATAATAAATATAAATTTCAAATCAATTCTAGTTATTGACCATTTAAGTATATTTAAGTTTAAAAATAAGGTAAATATATTATCTTTAGAAAGTGGCACAACCACCATTGCCACTAGATCAGACTAGCCTTAAAATGCATCCATTATCTTCTGATGTTTTGTGGTAAAAGATATTTTGATAAATAAAAATTCTCCTGGTAATAAAAATGGGTAGATAAACTGAAGTAATGTTTAGTTTAAATACTTTATTACAGCTCAAACTGTGCTACAGCTCTAATTTAAAAAGAAAGTAATAATGTCTCTGTTGATCAACCTAGATTTACCATGTCAAGATCTAGAATGAAATGATTGATTAAATTTTTTATTGACATTGTGTAAATTATCTTAAAGACTATTTCTGATTAGACTCTGCTATTTTTATCAGCTGTGATTTGATTGTGTCTATGAAAAGAATCAAAACTTTTTTAGGTCAGTGAGTTCTGATGTCAAAGCAGAGAAATAGTTCCTTGGATTTGTTCACTCTTTTGCTTTGAATATTAATGGATATGGGTTAGATAAATTACAACAGAAGTGTATAAACTGAAAAAGTGTACAAGCCCATGTTGCGTTCCTCAATCAGTTATTAAACTGATTAAAATATAACTAATTTGCCAAGACTTGTTATGGCATTTAATAGTCGATTATGATACAGATAGGCCTACCATGTCTGTCCATTTCTTGATGAAGTTTATCCGAATGATAGTCTTTGTACCAAAAAACGTGCAGAATTTCAGATATTGTTATAGTAAGAGATTTAAGAAATAAAAGACATTTTGTGTAGCTATGGGTTCTGAATACTATCATAGATTCAATGAGTAATGACTAATTTGCCAGTTAAACATGACTGTACTGATGTTGAATGTTTGTAACTAGATATTTACTGTAGTCTGTGATTGATTGGTAAAGGAACTCAAGGGTTATTTAGGGTCAATGTGATGATCAGTAACTCTGGTAAATTATACACTGTGTAAATAACATGGACTCAACCTTAATTAAATAACTACTGGAGAAATTAAACTGAATTAAATAGAAGAAATACAACTCTCTTAGACATACTGAATATTTACTGGGTAGTAATACTCTGATTCATGAAGTTCCATCCATTTTGGATGTGCTCTGAATCATGTTAGCCAGTCTGTATTTGTAAGATAGTTTTTTATTGTTCACCCATTTTATTACAAAGATATGACAAAGTGACATTATACAGGTTTCAATTGAAAACAAACTGTTTTCTCAGTGTCAAGAGTTGTTTAACTACTGAGAATATGGAAACAAGACCATCCTGCTATAGAATTAGCATTGACATTTTCTTGACCTCCCTGGACATTGTATCTATGTCTGCTATGTTTACTTCTATTCCACATGGAATATCCTGCATTTATCAGTCTTTTACACATTTAAAATGTTAATTAAGTCCTCCTGGACAACTAGTTATCATGACTCACACCATCTGTAAATTATTTAATTTCTGATGTGTTCCATTAACTGATGATCATGTCTCTTTTGAGTTGCACAATTTCCTCAGTCAAAAAATAATTAATTTGAGTTTGACAAAAACAATATTGTGGGTTTCTTTTTATGAAATTGGTTATTTCTAATGAATTAAGTAGATTTTATTGGAAATATTATCATCTCTTTACAATGAATTTAAAAAATCTAGTATTGAATATCAAAATATTTAAAATGGATCAGAATTGAAACAGATAGTGATTAGAATGATGATAATTTGTATGTGAATATGTTGTGATTATTGATACAATAATACATTTTCATATGGATACTTATAAACTTCTTACTGATTACTGATACAATATTTCCTATTTATTGTGAAAATTGAAAACTATCTGAGCTCTGCTGAAATAATTTTACTATTCCTAATATGTCTTCTACATAGGCACTAGTGAAAAGAAGAAACTAAAACTTTTACTCTACTTAAGATATAACAAATTAAACAAGATATTCTCTATTTTCACCTGTATGTAAAGACATATGCATCATGATTTAAACAGAACAATCTGGAATTCTACTCTACACTATTTGATTTAACAAGTATTTGAAGTATATGATGGTGTGTTATTGAATAGAGTTTATATTTTAACTAATGGTTGACAAGTACAAGAACAATGAATCAGACAAGAGCTAAAGTGCTATGACAGACTGCTAGCTGTTTAATTTACATGACTATTTCCACCATTATTCAAGATGTATTTTCGTACAAATGAACATGTTGATTGTTCACTGGTTTTATTTGAAATATGAATTGGTTAATTTTCCTCTCAAGGTTTTGTATTGTTCATCAAATTGTAAAAAAGGTCTAGATTCAGTCTGTCTGATAAAAAGACTTGATTCAGGGAGATGATTTGCTGTTTATAATTTTGAATTATATATATCAGCACTATTACTCTTGTGGTATCAAAATTGTTACTTATTCGGTTTGTAGTCAATCTGGCTCTTCCTTAAGAGAAACCTGATTTTATATAATATGTAAATGCTTCTTCACACCCTGTTGCAATTCTTATGCAGGTTGTTTTCCCTGTTTGTTTGTGCTTACTGTCTGACTAAGTACAACTTTATAGATTGACTGTTGATTTTCAGAAAATGAAAGGTTATAACAAGATAATTTGATTGAATGGCAGCCTTTTTAATGTCTATTTTGATTTATTTTATTGATGACTGACAAATAATGTAAGAATGGTTGTTGAGTAGGTCAGAACAAACAACTCTGTTATATGTTATTGGTACATACAATATTATTGAATTTCTCAAAGAAATAGTACCTTTTGACTTCATTTGATTACATCCACTAGAAATTATACATAACATTTTTGAGGTCTGTTGCTGATAATACTGTCTTGTCATTCCATATTTCATCCACTTATATCCCATGAGGGTTGATTGTAAGGTGAATAAATTGACCTCTTCTGATAATGGACGTGGAAGAAGGAACTGATGTTTCTCATGTTGCTTCTCTTTTTCATGAAGTAGTCAAATTAGACAAAAAGAGTATTGTATTCAAGTAAACAACACAGACTATTATTGTCCAATTAATTTTTTAAGTTTTTTAATTATAGATTTTAGAAATAGAATGTGTACTTATTAACATTTATTTTTAATCTTTTCAGTTTTGAGTTATTGTTTTGTACTGATAGTTGGACATCTTAATGTAGCATAAGTGATAAGGCCTTAAAACAATCATTGAACTCAAAATGTCTATTTCTTCATACATATATTTTATAAAGAAATATTAATGAAATCTGAAGTATAATTAAAGTTTATTGACAACAATAAGAAGGAATGTGTACTTTTTAACACTGATTGTAATAAGTAATAAATAATAATAAATTACTATATTATATTAGTCCTACTAATTGACTGGATTATTAGAAATAATATATTGATTATTAACCATCAAACCATATTGTTTAATGATGTGTGCCGTGTCTGTCTGGTATGCCTGTCCCACATTATTGCCCTAATTATATCACCTTGTATTGACGTGTAGATCTTTATTGTTATAATTCTATTAGATTTTGCTCAATGATGTCTATACTATTAGAGATGTCTGGTGGAATCATTTTATTCAAATAGAATTGTTCTTTAATCATTAAATTTCTGTTGAATATAATTCAATTGTTCATATATACCACCAACCATATGACATATGGAGTTCCAGTCAATAGTATTTAAGATTTTGTCATTATTACGGTCTGGTAAATTTGGTCTTCTTGTTCCAGATTGAAACCAAGAATGATATTGATGCTGATAAATTGCTTGTACCGAGTCATCGGATTTGCTTACAAAAATGTTGATGTTGTATAAGCGTACATGAAATGTGAAAAAGAAACAAACAACTATTTTTTAACAATTGGATTCTTTCTAGCAGCATGACCAAACCTCTACATTGATCTTTCCAGCTGTGCCACAATATCCTAATAATTCTATAGCAATATTTAGGGGTAGAGATAACATAAAATAATGGAACGCAATTTTATAGTATACCATGATTTTATTGTGTCCTGTTACAATATGCTCAGTTGTTTCATTTTCTTGTATGTTTTTTTCCAGAATAAAAATTTTAAGATACAACTCATTGTCACTGTCAATAGCCTATTTTGCTCTTCAAATTTTACATCCACTATTTCTCAGAAATTGTAGATTTGAAAAGTAAAGTTAACAAATCAAATATAAGAGAAGCCTGCTTCAAGCTATTTCAATCAAACTGATATTTAGTTAACAGTGAAAATTTAATCAATGTAAGTTTTATTTGATTTGAAAGTCTTAAAGCTGTCATGTTGATTTAGATTCTATAGAACATAACTAACAAACTCAGTCTAAATCATTAGTCGAAATTAAAAATCACATACAGATTAAAATAAAGAGAGCAGAAGTCATTATACTCTCACATTATAATGTGGTCGAAAGTTATCGTTCGTTCGTTTGTCTGTCTGTAATTGGCTTGTGAACTCAATAGAGACTACAGTTTTTAATGAAAATTGGTGTGATCATTTATATTGATGAGATCTTAGACAAGTTCAAATTTGACAATCTTTCTATGAACGGTTTTTGAGTTATTGCCCTTGACTTTTAAAAAAAAATGTTCAAAATTTGTTTGTGAACACAATAGAGACTATAGTATTCATCAGATTTAAATGGAATTTGGTGTGTTCATTAATAATGACTATTTTCGATCAACATAGTTATTGCCCTTGACCTAGTAAAAACAATTTATGTCAGAATTTTATTAAATTTTGTGTGTTTGATTAAATCAACAATATCTTGCACAAATAAGATTTTTGGTATGATTTGACACAGATTGGTGACCGCCCTTGATATACTGAAAATGTATCAGGAAAGTGGGCGTATCTTGCTAGGCAACCACATGTTTTAAAAGTTTCAAACATTTATGCCATATAGTTGTTGAAAATATATTATGAAATGAAATATTATTTGTTACAGCAAACATAATGTTGATATAATACATCCTAGTTTTCTTCATTGGTTGGGCTAATAAAGATAGGCAACTCCATGCAGTGTACATAGAGGAAATTTATGTTACAGCTTTATCCTAGTCTTTTCGATTTAGAACTGTAGAAGGATTTTTTGTTATAATCTCACATTGACTAGAAACTTTTAAAGTATTTTGTGTTGAATTGGGTATCATAAGCCAAGTTCTATCAGTGTTTATAAGGAAATGGAATTTAGTTTCTATATCTTGTAGACTGTTTTCTATTGATTATGATAAAAAATCTTATCTCAGTATGAAAAAAGTGTGGATGAAGAAAGATTCAGTTCTTCAGACAAGATTTGTTTGTTTAATGCAACAATAGTTGTGAGAGCTGAGTGATATTTACATATTGAGATCAATGTTAACACTTAGTTTTGTTTGATTTCTTCTAGTCAATTCTATGAATTATGTTTGATTTCTTGTTGTGTAGTTCTCAAGTATATTCATAGACAGACAATATTTGCCAGGATATAGTTGAATTCATTATTTATCTCTATGTCATATAAGATGACATGTATTTTTAAAGTTTGATAAGAATAATATTGACAGTTGTATCGGTCTTTATGGTATCTTGTTCATCCCTAATCAAACACTATAATAGCTTCAAAAGATGAACATTCCTTGTTAGTCATCAAAGAATAGTGTGCAACATAAGTTTACATAAAAAAATATTTAGTACATCTTTAAAGTATGTATTTAATGTACATATTGCATTCTTCTAATTGCCAATAAACATAAAGCTTTCTTTTATCTTGGACTAGTGAAAATATTATAACTCGTTTAGTTTTCATCTTTTATGGATGTAGTTACATGATTAATAATTAAAGTCAAAACTTATGCAGATTTGGAAATTTGAATTAGAATTAACTTGTTTTACCCCTCCAATATGCATGGCTAACTTGGACATGATCTATGATCTGTAGAAACTGTATTCCCTGTAAACTTAAAAGAATATCTTTCGCAACCTATGTCTCGGTGAAATATGTGTCAAGGAAGATTAAGTTGAGATTCACCTTGTAGAATATCTTGCTCATTATCCCCAAAAATACCTGCAACAATGTTTTGTCATCTCATCATTTCATCATCTCTTTTAGAGAGTCCAAACCACTTATCATGAATTTTTTATTTTACAATTTTTTGGTGAAGATTGTCTTTCAGCTAAGGATATTTTCCCACAATATATTACTGTTTGAATTAAAAATTAAAATAGCTGACATTCTTTAACAGATTAGAGTGACATAAACACTGTTTAAGTCATGGTGAATAGATTTCAATATTAATATCAATTTAAAGACCTTGAAAACTCACTTTATTTTATTCATTTTATAATGTTTTGACAGATTTTATTTCATCTTTTCATGATGGTTGTTGGTTGGTGTGACAAATCAGGAAAAAACTAAAATAAGCACATATCAAACCAATTCACAAGCAGAAATGATATATATAGTAAAGGCACAACCATTTTCCAGTAATATAGGTCTTGGGTACAGGTGTCACACGTTATTTAACAATCATCTACAACCTTCAACCTAGCTTCTGAATAGTCAACATGGGTTAATTGAAACATTGACAAGTTTCAGAAGCACATCTGCTGCCCACAAAAAAGGAAGTCTAATATCATCACTGATTTCATTTCCTTTCAATTTTATTTCATGTTTAATACAAAATCTTTTTCTGAGATAGCTTGTCAAATAAAAAGTATATATTTATCCATGATATTTTGCCAAGATTTCTGATTAATCCCCCTGTCTATTTGCAGTAACCACAGGTTCAAAAGTATCAAAGCTATGTTTTTTGATAGTGCCTTTTTGTTCTCAAGATAATGTGGGAATGTTTTTATATCTGAACATAGTTTAGTGTTGTGAACCTGAAAATAATCAATACAGAATGTTACGTTCAAAGTTACAATTTTATGACAATTTCTGTCCTAATCCTCTATAAACATTAACAAAATTAGGTCTATGCTGCCAATTCAATGTCTTCTTTTCAAATTCCTGTAAATTTTTTATAAAAGATAAACTGTCAAAGTTTTTTTTAGAATGATGTAGAACAATAGAGTAAAGAACAAATTTGAAATGGGCTGAATTTGCACTTTTCTACATAGGCTATTCAAAACCAAAACTGCTGACATCTGTTTTCTGCCAAGTGCAGTTAATGATCATAAGCTACACAAAATATCAGACTGAGAACAAAATGTTATAGTGATGAAGATCTAAATGATACTGTTTAAACTGTATCTAAAAAAATCTGCATTATTGTTAAAATGTATTATCAGTTATTCAATTGAATAAATTTTATATCCACATAGCTTAATGTTAAATGTGATGGATCTATAATTAGTTTTTATTGTGTTGGATATCTACCAATAAAATTGACAGTACTATAGAAGTAATTAATCTGATTGTAGATTTATTGATAAATTACACTGGATTCTCTTTATATCTTATATATTTACCTTAACAACATACACACTCTTTATCATTTCCCGCCCTAAAGCTACCTTTATTTGGCGGCAATTTTACTTCAAAGGTGTCCAAACTGACCACAGAATGTGTTTAACAAGCAAACTGTATTGGTTCACCTGATAAAATAACATCGACAGTTGGCTCAAATTTTACTTTAGCAATTAAAGAGGTATTGTGAAGTAAGACCCAATCAATAGAGATATTTACTCTAGATTGTATCTCTTCTATTCAATACATTGATTACAGTCATATTGTCTACATTATCTCCCTTTAAATACCTCTCTAATCAGGACATAGTGGTCACTTCAAAAGATTTCACTATTTATTATGTTAGCCTCACAACAATAGGTATAAAGTAATAAGAAAGTTTATATTGAGCTAACCTTCACTTCAACCTTTCTTGCTAAAAACCTGTTTTAAGGTTTAATTTTAGATCATAAAATTATTGTCATTAACTTTGTCTGCTTTGATGAGATTAAGGTATGAAAAGGAAAAAAATCCTGTAGACTGAAATTTTCTAAGAAATAATACTTTATAGGAATGTTGACTGACACAGACTGTCAGGAAGGTGTATATGACTATTAAACTAGTATCCGTTTTTAAGGGATATATTCATTAAATTATTCTCTTTTAGGATGTATTGAAGTTATTATGTATCAATAAAGAAATGAGAGTGTGAGTTATTGCAGCATTTTGGGCAAA